CACCGCTCTTAAAAGTTAAAATATCACTTTGCTTCTTTTAACGTTTAAATTTATATTAAAATTGTTGTTTGTGTTTAAAAAATATTAAAATTATTCTTTAAATTTAAAATTTTAATATTAAAATACTCCTTAAACTTTAAAGATGAATATTAATTTAATCTTTGAATTTATAGGTAAGTAATAATTTAATTCTTAAATTTTGATTATTAACACTAGTTTGTCCTTTCATTTTTAGTTACATATTAATTGATATATTAATAAAAATATAATACAATAATAAAATAAAATTGTTTTTTTTGTTTTTTGAACAAGGGAGAATGTGAGGGAGAGTAGGGAACTGCACACTGCAATTTTGAACTTTACTCGGAATCATGAGTTTAAGTGCATTCGACCAAAACAGTTAAAGTTGGAGGTGCAATTGTTTAATTTTATATATTATTAATATTTTAAAAAAATAAATTTTGTAATAAAATAATAAATTATATATCACTTTTGATAACAGTAAAATTATTTTGATATTTAAAAATTAAAATTTATGGACAATTTTAATATTTTTTAAAATTAATAGACAATTTTGATATTAATTTGAAAGTTGAGAGATTAAATGGAGATTTTAACCCACTTAAAAACATTTTTTCTTTCACCTAAAATTCCACCAAATCATTTGGAAAAAACTAACAAAAGGAATAGAATTTCATTCAATTCGAAGGGAAAGGAAGAAGATTTTTGCATTCAACAAGGAAAGGGTGTGTTTTTTGTTTGTGGGCAAGAATTTGTTTACGTGTATGTAATGCATCAGAAGAAATCGGAAGTTCAGATCGGAAAAGAAAGCAGCGGCGTCTCTTCCGATTTCAATCCCACCTTCTCCTCTGTTTACCAGAAGCAGCAACCCCAGCATTTTCAACACCTATCCGATACTACCAAACTCAGTCCCAGTACTTGTGTTGCGGTGTTTCCACAAATCATCACCCATGCGCCTTCCCAGAATGCCCCACTTGATCCGCCGCCGCCCTCATCCTCGTCTCCGGCGCCCTACAAGAGATCTCTTCTGACACAAGCTCAGTCTCGTTCTATGCCCAAATCTCCGACCTTGTACCGTTTCTCCACAACCCCTCTTTTCAATTCCCAAAATTCCCCTTCCTTCTTCTCATTCTCCCTTGCTGCCAAGTCTGCAGTTTATAGAATCATCCGTCGTTTCAAGAATTTGCGCCGTCTACGTTCCCATATTCGTTTGGTCCTGCTTTTATCTCTCCTCTTTTTCTATTTCCTAGTCTCCCACCCGACCCATTCTTTTCTGCATGATTTTCTCTCTGCTTTTGCATTCTCAGCTGCTCTTCTTTTCTCACTCAATCTCGCGCTCCCTCGCCTCCCGTCTATTCGCTTGTTCCTGTCACGTTCTTTCCCAATTAATCTCACATCTTCATCTTCAATAACCAGGGCACCTTTTCCGGTGTTTTGGTCTATAGGATCTGAGAAGCGAACCAATTCGGGATGTTGGGTGCAGGTTTACAGCAACGGGGATGTGTACCAGGGGGAGTTTCTTAAGGGAAAGTGTTCAGGGAGTGGGGTTTATTACTATTACAGGAGTGGGCGGTACGAGGGGGATTGGGTTGATGGTAAGTATGATGGATATGGGGTGGAGACGTGGGCAAGAGGAAGCAGGTATCGTGGCCAGTATAGGCAGGGTCTCAGGCATGGATTTGGAGTGTACAGGTTTTATACAGGCGATGTTTATGCCGGGGAATGGTCTAATGGGCAGAGTCATGGCTGTGGAGTGCACACCTGTGAAGATGGCAGCAGATATGTAGGGGAATTCAAGTGGGGTGTCAAGCATGGGCTTGGCCATTACCATTTTAGGTAATTTGAAGATGCTTTTTTTCAGGATTGCTCTTTCTAACTCATCATTAATTTGAAAGTGGTTGAATTCTTATAGTTGCAATATGATTTTCTATCTCATGAACAATTTCTTTGTCCTTCCGCGTGATTGACCTTTTGGTCTCACACTCACTCTTCTTTAATGTTGTGTTAGTTGGTGAATATTTAGTGTTAATAATTTGGTTATGTTTTATTGTGTGAGATGGAGATGTATATTATCAAAGAATGTAACAAGGAAAGCATAGATATGTTGGAGGATATAGAACTTAGGTTTCTCACCAGTGATTTTACCAATTTAGAATGTCCTATTAAGGTTCCCTTTCTGTGCATTGATTAAAGTGATGCGTGTTTGACTGAGAAGTACTTCGATGTTTTTTCTTTCTGTAGAATGATGCTAAAATTTTTAGGCTCTCACGATGGTCAGTACTGTTCCCAGACAAATTATGGGTGCATTTTTAATATATATGGTGCCTTTTTTATATCTAAATATTGTTAAACTGATATGTTGCTATGAAAGCTTTCCGAGCATTATGAGTCATGAAATACTTTTGCTGCCTCAGTTATTCTTTTTCACCTTAAAACCCCTTTGTCATGATGCCCAGCTCATGCAATTTCTTGATCTTTCATGAAAACCATAAGTTCCCTCTTTATCATGTGTTTCAGATATTTAAGTCTCTAGTTATTGGATTATCTAAAATTCTTGATACTGACCTCATGATTATCTTCTCTAGGAATGGAGATACTTATGCTGGAGAATATTTTGCAGACAAGATGCATGGATTTGGTTTATATTGTTTTGCAAATGCGCATAGGTATGAGGGTGCCTGGCATGAGGGTAGAAGGCAAGGGCTTGGAATGTATACATTTAGAAATGGAGAGACACAATCTGGTCACTGGCAAAATGGAATCCTTGATATCCCAAGCACACAGAACACTACGTACCCTGTATCACCTATAGCTGTTTATCACTCTAAAGTCCTTAATGCAGTGCAGGTACTTTTGACTTACATTAACCTCTCTACTCCTTTATGAATGTTAAAGGCATTTGATTTCATGTCCCATGTGCTTTGTTGATCATCATTTGGATGGCTTTGTGTTACATCTTGCTTGCAAAATCCAACAGTTTCTTGAACTGGTTGTCCATTGGGTTTTACATATGTTGCCACATTATTATTATTATTATTGTTATTTTGGTATGTAGAGAGTAGGGATCGAACTCTAGACTTGTGACTAAGAGCATAAGTAGCTCTACTACTAGACCACATGGCTGATGATATGTAGCCACATTACCATATGCATGTATGTATGACCTAAATTTACACATTGCTCTTTTATGTTTCAATCTGTAATACAGATTTATCTAACCACAGGATTCAGTTTGTCATCATTATTCCTTTATTTAGACATCATATGAAGGATTTTTCCAAGTGAAATCCGATTGGTTGTGTTGTGAGCAGGAAGCTCGACGTGCAGCAGAGAAAGCATATGATGTGGCCAAGGTAGATGAGAGGGTTAGCAGAGCAGTAGTTGCTGCTAATGTGGCAGCCGACACAGCTAGAGTAGCAGCAGTTAGAGCAGTTCAGAAGCAAATACATCACAGTAAGACCACTGACAACATTCCCATTGCCATAGTGTGATACTTTTGACAAAAACTCTTTTCACTGCTGAAAATAGGTTAACCAGCAGCAAAGAGTGTGATAGCCTATGTGTTTCATCTCACATTCAATACTGTCATTTCTCTTTGGTCTCTTGTATTCTTATGAGAGACTAATTGTGCGTGCCTTCACATTAATGTCTGGCATGGAGAAGGACTTATTTCTTTTAACCTAATAATAGCTTCCAGACAAGGAGTTGCCAGTTTATAGTTGTGGAGAGGGAATTTATAGTTTTAAGATGGCGATTATGTCACCCTCTGTCAAAATGATTTTTGCTTTCTATCTTGGAGCAGTTTTGTATAGATGAGCTAGATGTATGTAGATATGTAGATAAGTGCTGGTGTACAGATGAAATGAAAAGGAAGCTCAAACAGTAACTGTTGTAACTTGTAATCGAACTTGGTCTTTGAATTGAAGTACACTCAGGCCTCTGAGTGGCATTTCTCTCAACTAATGGATTGGCATCTCTCTGTCGGATTTACCAGTAGAAGAAAAGAAACAAGGCTTGGTTTTTCTTAAAATACACATGATTCAAAACATTGATTGTATATAGATAGAGAATCATGTATTCCAATCTAAACTGTACATTAAAAATATATTTCTAATATTAAAATTACTAAGTTACCTTTTATAAATAAACATTAAAAAAGAATTCATTAAAAATATTTTAATAATTTCACTAATCAAACTATTCTTTTTCTTTTTCTTTTAATGTGTAGTCCAATTTGAATAACACTTTTGATATGGATAAACTGTAGCAATTATTTTGGTCTTTTGCGAACAAAAATAAGATTACAAGCATAAACAAGGTAGTCAACTTAATGCCAAAACTGTTTCAACTTTCAATAGATCAAAAACATAAAAAATCCAAATCTCCATAAGACATCTTGTTTGGTTGCCATTACAGTAAGTTCGATATATTAAAAAGAACACAAACCATAACACTAAGATTAACTCTCAGTCTGCTCCCTCAGCCTTCGGATGGTGCTCCTAACGGTCACGGCACTTGCAGTGCTGCGAAACCAAAGAAGATACCAGTTAGTTCTATGAAGAAATGAATATTTGTAGTTGTAAGCAAAATGGTCACAGGAAGTCCCAAGAGTCACAGAACTTACTTCAATGTGTATGCACCTCCAGCTTTCACTTTGCCACAGTCTTTGCATCCCCAGATTCCAACAGCCTTCCTCTTCACTGCATACTGCAAAATCATGTTTCAGTTAACAAAATAGTGGCATTCCAAAAAGGGTTTTTTTTTTTTTTTTTTTTTTAAGAATGTGTCAAAAAACAAGAGAGGAAGAGTGTTAACAAACTACCTTTCCACAGAACTCGCAGAAATACTTGCTATGCTGACTGACCTCCATCTTCTTGATCTGCTTCCGCAGACTGGCACCATAGCGGGTACCTAAATAAACAGTTAATGATTCAGTAATGACAGACAACACTCCAAAACCAAGAATACATATAATGAAATATAACACTCCAAAAGTTAACTCTACACAACATACCATACTTCCCAACAATACCCGCCTTCTTGGTTCTCTTTGTCTGCATAAAACAAGTGAACATAAACATTATTATCAAAAACACATAAGCCTACTCTTGATTAAATCAAAGACAAAAGATAAGCACATAATCTATAATAAGGATAATTAGACGCAACACTAAAAACCCAAAAATAATGTAAATCACGCGACTTTCTTTCATCTAAGACCCAAAAAATGAGCATTCTCACTTCAAATACAGAAGCAGTAATCTTTAAAGAAAATATAACTAAAATGCAAAACTTCAAACTTCCCAAGAGTTTTTGCTAACTAAAAACTGCAGGAGAGATGAGATGAACATGAGAAATAAAAGAATATGAACATCAAGAACAAGATCAAGACCTGTTTTCTAATTGCATAAAAGATAAGGAAACCATTTCTTCAGAGAAAGAGAGCATACGTACCATTTTCGGCGGTCAGAGAGAGACGAAGCTGAAACCCTAGAAATTTTCCCTTCCTGGCGGCCAACTAAACCTAGGGATTAAGCCGTTCGTTCTTTATATAGTAAGGGCCATGATTTACCCTAGGACCTGACCCGTACTTGGGCCTACAATCCAAATTTATCTGGAAGGCCCCGTTCGGCCCACGGGTCCACCACCAGTTTCCAAAGGCCACCTCGCTTTGGTGGCCTATTAAAGAAATTTATGGTTTTAGGTTTTAAATTTGAGATTTGGTACAAATAAAAACACAATCTCTTAAAAACTTTTTAATTAGGAATATAAATTTTTTTTAAAGGTTAGTGCTGACTATTAGTGTTTATTTTCAAAAAAAAAAATTAGAGTCTCCACTTGTATATAAAAATTGAAATCTTAATCCAACATTCAAAAATCTACCATATTCATGGTTGATATTTAAATTTAAAAATTGATTATATCAAAAAATATAATTAATTTTTAAATATAAATATAAATATTTAATATAATAAAATTTTAAATTTTAATTAAATAAATAAAACAATAAGATTTCAATTTATTTTAAAATTAAGAACCATATGCATTTTCTCTCTCTCTCTCTCTCTCTCTTTTTTATGCTATCAAGATTACGATGTTGTAAAAATTTCTAATCATAAATATGATCTTGATAGACAGATTGGTTCAGCCCAGTAACGGAGGAGAACCTAATTGGTAAGCCTTCGGTGCAGAGCACACATCGAGGAATTTCCCATGTGGGCTGTTGAGCCTTAAAATAGACTTGGAGCAAGCAACATGCAGACCATGTACATGGCACAGTGCGTACCTGCACCCTAAAAGACTTTTAAATTTAGCCCAATCGGCCTAATTCTAATAGACATTAAAGAGACCAATCCACAAACAGTTTTTACATATATCGGCTAACTATACGGGGCCGAAGGGCACAATCAAGATTCTGAAAGGCCGTAAAAAAAAAAAAAAGCATTCTCTCTTAGCCACTACGGCCGGCGAACAATTTGAACCTTGCTTAATTTGCAGTAAATATTTTCAATAAATAATAGTATTTAAAACATTAGAAGGAGAACCCCAAGATGATGTTGTAGCATCAGTGCATCCCTACCTCCCTAATTAGTAGTTCCAATTTCCTTGACCTGTCAGGATCTGGAGGCCGAAAAGACTCCAAACGCAAATTGGAGCTTTTAAGAGACTCCTTTAACACCGTTTCTCCTTTCTCCTTTTTAATCATTGCCACGGTGCTTACAAGAACTTCACCAGCAAGACCAACCTCTAGAAGACGGCCTGCTGCCTCTCCATTACGTAATAGCTGGTCAATCTCCCCCAAGGATAAAACATCACCCATAATTACTTTGGCCAGGATAAGACCAAGAAATTCAGCAGCTTTAGGTGCATCATTAACAGCGTCCTCCAATGTACTCAGAACAGATTCAAACCTGACCAAATCAGGTTTACAGTAAATCAATAATAAGATTTTTTTTAAAAAAAATAAATACACTACTATCAAATGTTTCTTACCCTGCAATGAGCTGGCCTTGGTTCAACGTGCCATCTCGAGGCTTTGTAAGATTGACAAGCAGCTTTGCTAACAGATCCCTTTCCAGGTCCTTCCTCTCAAAAGAGTCGGATACCCAAAGTGCAATCATTGATGGGTGGAAACTAGGAGAATTCAAATCTTTGATGCAGAGTGCTACTTCTTTCTCATCTCTTGCACTGCAGAAAAAGAAAATTGTAACGTTATAAAATAACAGTACATGGTGAGTTCTTACTGTACAGCAACAAACATGTTCGTCAATTTCAACAGGCCACCTAGCATTTATTGGTCTCTATTTCCTAGACTTCCTTTTTTTAGATTAATTCCATGTTTCTTTCCTTATAACTCCCTCCCCCCTCCCCCCTCCTCTTATTACTATTAGGAAACCTATCTGATATTGGTGAATGTAGAACTTGACAGAGTGAATATTTTCCTTAAACTATGTTGCCTGCACGGGTACATGTACACCAATCAAAAGTTTTGGCCCTAAGCTCATGTATTCTGGCAACTCCATCAAAACCAACCAAAAAAGTTATGTTCTGAATTTTCAGGAAAAAAAAAAAAAAACCATTTTTTCTGCAAAAATCCACAGTTCGTTTATGGATAAATAGATCTTATGATGGGATAAATGAAGACAATATCAAATAATAATAACTTTATCTTATAAGCCAACAACTATTAACAGCAAATAAGTCAGAGAACTTCATCCTTCCCTATTTCAATCACCCAATAGAATTTTATTTTCAGATTGTTCCAACAGAATAATTGCTTTCTCAATTTCAGCAAATTGAGCAGCATATCTAAAGATTTTATGCAACAGATATGGTAAAAGCTTGTTCCACAAATACATCATGTTGATCACCTCTTTTAAGTCCTGAATTTGACAGTTTTCTTGTTTATCTAATTTCTTTCACAGCATGAACCAACAAGTATGAGGCAATAGTTTAACTAATCAGGTACTGTCTGTCAACAAAGTGATTTAGTCAAACATCTGTGAACAACCTATTTTAGAATCAATAATTAAGTTCTACTTTTATGCAAATTAATATCTAAGAAGAGAGCTGGCATTCACAAGACTATTATTTCAATAAATGACTATGATATCTCATGATGATAGGATAATAAACAAATAAAATACAGAGGCTCCTGTAACAAAATATAAACCTGAAAATACTAATATATTAATGGATGCAGCAAAAAGATCATGCATGAATCAAGATGATAAATACCTGTAAAACTCTTTAATTGCTGCTATGGACATATCCCGGAGGTGTTCTTCAGACGACACTTTTTCTTGAGGGATATTTTGAGACAAACCCGGTGCTTGGACTCGTGCAGATGGTGAAGCCACAGGAGGTCTATCAAAATTACGATCTGGATTCCTGGGGTCTCTATTACCATAACTCATATTGCGCTCTTGGGAACTCAATTGATCATAAGCAGCTGGCCCTGGATATCTATCCAGGGTAAATCTTGGAACAAGATCCTCCCTAGAGCCAAAAGTTGTCCGCTCTGATGCAGAATTAAACCCATTCAGACCAGCTGATGCTCTTCTTGAGTCTCCAGGAGAGGCAGAAATATCAGATATGGGATTGCTTGGCCCTCTAAAGGACCTGGCAAGGCCACCTTGGGGTCCTAAAGTGATTGAATCGTCAGTATTTAGTCTTTGAGACAAGGGGACTGACAAAGTCCTAGCCTCAAAAGACTGTCTATCGTCTATGCGAACATCCTGACCCCCAAAACCACGAGCCTGGGAGGGCAATCCACGAAAACTACCCATCTGTGCACCAGGGGAAGATAACATAGCGGACCCTCTTGGACCAAAATCCATGGGTACCCTTCTTGCCGCAGAATTGATTCCTGAGCCACGACCAAGCCTACCACCTTGGGCCTGTCGTTCTTGAGCAGCATCTCTATGCACTTCCTCAATCTTCTTTGGCCCCTCAACTTTCCTCCTTTGCTGCCATTTGTTCTTTCTCAGATCAATTGCATCCTTCAACATGAACCTAACTCTAGAAGATAGCTTCATATTGTTTGATAACTTTGTCATCAAGTCAAAATATGCATCCATATGCACCTTGGCTTTGGGATGGTCAATAATCTCTCCAATTGTGCTCATCAATTTGCACAAAGCCTCAACATCTTCCTCATCAGGATTCTGAGACTGACCTAGTAACTTTGTGATGCATTCATGCATAATTCTTTCAGTCAACATTTTCTTCTTGTACAATTCCCCAATGAGTCTAATGTTACCCAACATACGTCTCCTTGCCTTGATTCTCTTCTCCTCTCTTTCCTCCTCAGACTGTTTGGCTTCACCCTCTTCAACTTTATTTGCTTCCTCTTGTTCCCTCTCCCCTCTCTCAAATTCCTCCTGACACTTGTTAAGCAGCAATCTCTTGAAAGTTATCTTCTCATTGTCTTCACTAAAATCAGGCAATGCTCCAGCAAGATGATGACAAAAGTTTGCATACATTTCACAAAAAGTAGGCTCCGTCAGAGCTTTGTCAAAGATCTGGGAGATGACACCAGTGAGGGTGCTGGCATTGTCAATGTTCACAGCTTTCACTTGTTCAAAGAGTTTATCAAAGTTTTGAGGAGTCAGTTTGTTCAAAATTCCTTTTAATTGCCTTTGCTTTGCCTCCTCCTCATCTGTCACTTTACCCACTTCATACTTCTTTTCAGCCTTGTGCATCATCTGCAGTGGTGTCTGTGGAGAAGGAATTAAACCCTTTTGCTGATAATTGGCAGCACGGTGCCACCTATCAGCATCAGTGCTATTTCTTTGCATCATCCCCTGCGAACCAATGGGTTGCATTGTCAGGATCCCTATGGGTGTCTGTACACGTGGGGGCTTTAGAACTCCATAATTGCCTCCTTGGCCAGGTCGAAAACCTGCATTACTACCATAAGGAACATCAAGGCGCAATTCCCTTCCAAGACCAAAAGCCCCAGATACTTTACTCCACCTATCATCATCAACCACACCACGGCGATCCATTCGAGATCCACTGCTTTGCCTATCAAGTACTCTTCCAGGACTAGGATATGAATCACGATCAACATGGTGTGAAGTATTGACATTAGTGCTCATCAAGAAGTCTGCAATATCAGAGGTAATTTCAAACCCCTCTGGAAGATCAACACACTGGTCTGCAAATTTGAGTAGGAAATCTCTGGAATACTTCTTTGCCAAATTCCCATTTCCATCTTTATCATCAGGATTCACTAATGATCCACCAGACAGTTCCCCATTATCAGAAGCTTCTAACTTTGGGGTAGAGATGTCAGCAGCATCTTCCCAATCATCTGGTTCAGTCTTGTTGAGTCCAACTTTCTCATTTTCTACACCCTCCACATCAACAACATCAGGAGATGCTTGCTTCAGAACAGCACAATTGCTTTCTGCACTTTCAGCTGCTGCAACCAATTCTTTTTTTTCCTCAGGACCCTTATATGCCATATAAAGATCAGAACTTGTCCCTTGAGCATCAGCATTCTTCAGCATCTCTTTTCTCTTTCTCCTCAACTTAGTAATGCTCTTCATCCGACTCAGCTCTACAGTAGGTTTGTCCTTCAAGCCAGATGGTGAATAAGCTTCCCCTTCATTCTTTGAATTTGTTTCAGAAATATCAGTAATGGGGATGGCAACCAACTGCTGATCTGATAAACTGGATTTTGTAATGGTTACCCCATTGTTACCTCCAGAACTTGAAGAAATGTCTGAATCAGCATGGCCAACCACATCATCTGAAGCAGAACTAGAAATCCTTGAGGTAGACACACTGATATCACCAGCAGCTCTCTCATTTTCCATGCAACTACTCACACTTTCATCTGGTCCATCCTGTGCAGCTCCAGAGCTTGGAATCTCATTGCCATAAATTGTTTCCTTCAAAGAAGATTCCTGGCTGGTTTCATTAATGAGCTCCAGAGATCTTAAGGTGATATGTTGAGAAGGATTCTGTCTTGCATTATCCTGAATGGGCCTTTCAGGCAATTTGTTTTTTCCTTCCTTAGTTCCACAACTTTCAGTTTTTAGTTTTTGATCCTGTACAGAATAATCATCTACCTCAGAAAGCCGAGCGGTGTCTGACATATCAACAAGTCCAGCAGTAGAAACTTCAGATGGACAAGAAGTTATGCCTTCACTATTACTATAATGCTTTGATTCAGAGGCAACAGAAGTTGGTGCGTCAACAGTTGAGAATGATTCTCGAGCAGATTTTGACAACAGTTCACCAGCTGTTAATGATGTTACAGCTGCTTTGCCATCTATAGTTTCAGAAACCGCACCACCTGAGGAAGTAGTGTGTTCTGAAGAAATGCTCAAAGCCAAATGTGGTGTTGAGGTAGATTGTCCACTAACCTGTAAGGAAATACATAAATGATGTCAAAAGAATTTAACACCTAAACAAAATCTGCAGGATTGCTGACAAAGAAGTACCTGATTTTGTGGCTGGTTGTGTCCTTTCTTGCTAGGTTTCTTCTGATGCTCTTTCATGGAGTTTGACCTATTCAAAGGCTGCTCTTTTCTTCTTACTTCATGATTCACCATTACTGGCATTGACTCCTCAGAGGTAGTGGGTGATGTAGAAGGCAAAAGACTGGATTTAAGGCTTTCATCAGAGACAGCAGCTGGAATCATCACAGATTGCTTCATTACTAAAGGCAATGACTTTGATGTTAAAGAATCACTGCCAGACTTTGGCTGCTGAATAGAGCTTTCTGAGCTAGCTTCCAAGTCCTTTCGAGAATGAGCTGAGTTAGATTCCCCAGAAGGTTTAGGTGAGGCAAGCTTTTCGGCAGCAGGAGAGTTACTTGGCGATGAGGAATCACCAATCTTCTCTCCAACAGTGCCAGTAGCTGGCTTAACAGTGACCTGTGTTGTCCCTGGAGGAATAGAGGTTATATTATGTGCATCCCGTGCATGTTCCAAATTTCGTGGTTCTAGGACACCATGCATGGGATTTATTGGTTTATTAACAGGGAAGGAATTGTGACCAGCAGCCGAATTCATGAAAGGAATATTTTGAGGACCCTGGCTAACAGGATAATTAAATCTTGACCCTTGAGCATTGGGGGTCATCTGGTTACTTGACATTGGTAGAGAACTTGATGTTGGATAAAACACAGAATTGGGATAATAGTTGATTGGAAATGATGAAATTGGCTGGGATTGAGAAGGCAAATTTGGATGTGACCTCAGACCTGATGACCCAGCATCTGAATACATATCTGTTCGCTTATCAAGTCTCAGCTCTTCATGTGTCTCAGGATGTGTAATCTTGACAGGGGTGGTTTTGCGAGGAGCACCAAACTTCCCTCCCTGCTGCTGGGGATATTGCTGAGTAATGCCCATTCCCAGATTGCCTAACGGGGGAGGAAGCTGACCACCCATGGGTGGTGTGAAACCCAGCCCCTGGCCCTGATGAATCATTCCCTGAGGTGGCAGTGGGTGCTGAAGACTTTGAACATAGACCTGCTGCTGTACCGGAGGAGCATTTCCCATTGGTAAAGTGATATGCATTGGCATCTGAAGTGAAGTCGCAGGAGGCTGCATTGGGGGATTGGGGGCACCAAATGGCATAGAAACCTGAGTCTGGTGATATGGTGGCATCTGCATAGAAGATATGGGCATTGCAAGGACAGAAGGCTTCTGAGTTGGGTTTGCAGTTGCTGGAGGGGTTTGTACATCTTTTTTGACCTTAGGCACTGGATGGGCCTCCCCAGCATTAGATTGATCAGTGGCACCTGAATCTTTTCTTGGTAACTGCTGTTTAGGAACAGGAATTGGCAAATTTGGCACAGCTCTGAAAGCAGAGTCATGACGTGCCTGCAAGTTAAAATGTTACATGACATCTTTATAAATAATTAACCATATAAATAGTAAAACATTATGATTAACAACTCTAGAAACTAAACTATGCTAATAGGTGGGCCCAAACAGATTACTTTATTTTCATATTGAAATTCAGTTACATACTTGCCATATCTTTCATGTCATTTCAGAGCAAACAACAGAAGGTAATCTTTAAGTTAGTTCTAAGGATGTCATTCCAAATAGTGTTCGGGAATAATATAAAACAACAAAGGGAGCAAAGAAAGAGCTAAAATTTCAACACTATCCACTCTTCTTAATAAATCATACAAGGAAGCATCACGATGTTGAAAAATTCATGGCCATCTGAGGAAAGAAAAGGAAGCAAACCTGATCTCTTTTCTGCTCATCCAAATTCGGGGGAGCTGAGCTAGTTCGGGCTGGGATCTACATGCAGAAGAGGAACAGTTCTCCTTCATTTAGAGACAAAAATCCAAATAGGAAGATAAAAGTAACTTCACATGAGACTAAAAAGTTACCTGCATCCCTTCCATGGTTATAGTCCCAAACTGAAAAGGGAACGCCTTCGATGTATCTCCTGGGAGTAACCAATGAGACATGTACAAGAATATTTAAATCAGTTCAGAACAATAAAATGCTGATTAACTATAGTTCCAGTATTTTCATAGTTGATGCATACCCTTTGCAGGAACAGCAGGTGTAGCATTTTCAGAAGTCGCGGTGGTTGATTGAGGAGTAGGACCCTTTGGAACAGGTCGGGCACTTCTCTGACTGGAAGGCGATTCAATAGGTTTTGGCACAGCAGGCCCTCCCCCTTCCAAGAAGAACAATTCAACACAGCAGAGAAAACACGTCAAAATAAATCAGTGTAACCAAAAACCATGATAGAAACGAATCCTAATATTTTTCATACAGAAACCCAGAAAGGCAACCCATACCTTGTAACTGGGGCCGTACATGTCCACCATTCTGTACATTACGGGCAGCATAAGCATTAGTAGACTCAGATGAATTCGCTCTAGATTGGCCTCCTTGTGCATTGTTAGACTTCTTAAAACTATCATATTAGGACGAAAAATTAAATTCATCAAAAAAAAAACAAAAAAAAACCCAGAAATCAGGCCTTACGAAACCCTAAATACAATGAAAACGGAATCAAAGACGCACAAGTACGGAAGATGCAAGGATTGAAAGGCGCGCGCAAAACCCTAACTAGATATTTACCTTCGATTGGAAGAAAGAGAAGCGGAGGATGAGGGGGACGGTGAAGGGGCGGGCACGCCGCCACCGCCCTTACCGTAAGCGCCTGAAGAAGTCCGCTGCTGCTGATTGGAGCTGGCGGATCGCCCGGTTTTTCTGAACTGTGCTTCGCTTTTATCGGACCTTGATTGATTGAATGACATATATCCGAACGCTCGATTCCTCAAATTTCCCTCTTCTCTTTCCGGCGACAGACTTTCCGGCTCTTCACCTCTCTGCATTCAAACAAAAAGATCCACAAATTCCAAACCATCAACAACAACAACAAGAAAAAACCCAACACCACAATCAATCTCTAAACTGAAATCCACGAGAAATTAGGGTTTGATCGGGAAAACGAGCATCATCACCTGTGAAGTAAGGATGAGTGTTGAGAGAGAGAAAAATTAGGGTTTATTCGACGGTCATGACGAAAACGGAAAAATAAAACACACAAAACGAAAGGGAGAATTTCCTTAATAAAAATATATATATACATAAATAAAAATACGTAAAGTGAAAGTTTTTAAGAGAGAGAAAGAGGGGCAGTAACAAACTGGTCAAAAGGTTAGTTTTTTTAGGAGATCCTTAATCAAATGGAA